AGCAGGGAGCCCGACGCGGGGCTCGATCCCAGGACCCTGGGATCATGACCTGAGCCGAAGGCAGACGCTTGACGACTGAGCCACCCAGGAGCCCCAAAGCATAAGGATTATTTTAAACTGAAAACAATTAACAGGAAGAATTCTCACCCTCCCCCTTTCTGCCTAATAGCAGGGCATAAATTTCCCTTTGTAAAGGTGTCCCCTCCTCCCCTCTCTCACACCAGGAGGAGGAGAACAATCCTCATCATAGTAGATAGACAGCACCAGGATAAGGCTGCATACACAAATCTTAATAAGGAAACCATTATCGGGGCGCCTGGGTGGCTCAGTCGTTAAGCGTCTGCCTTCGGCTCAGGTCATGATCCCAGGCTCAGGTCATGATCCCAGGGTCCTGGGATCAAGCCCCACATCGGGTTCCCCGCTCTGCGGGAAGTCTGCTTCTCCCTCTCCCACTCCCCCTGCTTGTGTTCCCTCTCTCACTGTGTCTCTCTCTGTCAAATAAATAAAAAATCTTAAAAAAAAAAAAAAGGAAACCATTATCTTTCACTAGTTTCTCCCATATATTTACCTTCTCCTAAAAGCCAAACCCCCTTTTCCTTTGTCTAATCACTTATCCACAACTTATCACCCTTTGTTAAAATGGTATACAGGCTCCCAGGCCTAACAGTTTCTTTCTTTGGGTTTTCACTTTTCTATGAAGCCCCGCGCCCCCATGCATAAGTGTATAAAATAAACCTTTTCTCCTGTTAATGTGTATTTTATCAGTTTAATTTGGGAGTCTCAGGCACTGAACCTAAATGAGTAGAGGAAAAGTCTTTTCCTATTCTATAGCACCAAAACATGCTTTGTGTTCCAACTTTGCTTAAGTGGAGATTGAGGTAATCTATGTATGGTACTTAGTAATTTAGTTCCATGACTGTTAACTGTTGTTAGCAAGGAGAGAGAGTTTTAAAATGAGTAGCCTTCTTCCTTAGAGAAAACACACCTCCTTTTTCCATAGAAAGGAAAAATCAATGTTATAGAAATACCTAGATGGCTACTACTATCTAAATTCAGTATTACTATATATATTTGCTTCATAACTATTTACCTATACTACATTTCAGCCATGACTGCCAAAGATTATCCATCATTATGGGGCTTTGGAACAACAAAAACATTTAAAATTCCTGTGGAACATTTGGATTTCAAGTATATTGAAAAATGTTCAGATATTAAACACTTGGAAAAAATTCTTTGTGTACTCAGGTAAGCATTCAAAAATCATTTTATGTTTCAGTATACCAATTATATTGTTGCCTTCTGAAAATTGAAACTCTTAGAAATATTGCACTTTCACATATTGAGATTGTTGTTTTGTTTTTTTCCCATGTTAGGTTCCAAAACTGTTGTTTTGATCCTGTGGTTAGTTCAGAGGGTTCTGGCTAGGTCTACTTCCAGCATGCAACGTAAGGCTCATCAGTGTTCAAGAGGACATTTTTCTTGCTTCCTCCACATTTTCTAGGAAAAGGTAGCCATGAGAGTAGCCATTAGAAAATAAGGTTAGCTCACCAGCCTACCAGTTGATAAAGTTCTTTGGTACTCCCCCCACGCCATACCATCTGCCAACATGGGTGGTGACTTACTGTGAGCTGGTCACAAGGAGAGGATGGTGGGGCGGCCACGAGGTGGGACCAGAAAGCAGGGAATCCAGACCTTCTCTGGGTAAGGGCCCCACAGTGGTGATTGTCAAACTTTAATATAGGTCAAATGTGGTTGTTAAAAATGCAGATTTGAGGTTCCCATTCCCAGGGACCCTGCTTCAGGAAACCTGGGGTGGGGCCCAGGAACATGTGTTTTTAACGAGTGCCTGGCTGACTGACATGCAGGTGGTCAAGGGAGCCCACTTCAAGCAGCACTGCTCTGGGTGATCCCAATGGGTGCCACCTATTTGGGATGTACTGAGGGGTTTTCATTTGGAGAGTAGCCTGATATTGTGGAAGTATTTGTGAAGCATGAATCACTCCTCCGTGGACATCAGTAGCGTTCCTTTTGTTAGGTGGTAGTTATCTGTTTTCTGTCTTCTGACCCCCTTCCTCATCACTGTGTCCTTTCCTTTTTCTCTCTCATCACCTTCAGCCTCCTGTCCTCCCTAAGCATCCCTGCTTGTGCCTGGACACAGTCAATGTCAACCTCATCATTTCTGAAATGGAAAGTGAAACATGTATTTTTCCTTTTGTTTTTCTCAGCAGTAGAAAAACATTTTCATTTACCTGTGGTCAAAGACTAATAAAGAAGATGTGACGTTTATGTGATGGAAGAGTTTGAAAGCCACACGCTGTTGGTTTTAAGAAATTCTATGAATAGCTTAATTCAATTATATTGCATTGATTCAGAATTTATTTATTTTTAAAGATTTTATTTGTTTGAGATAGAGAGTGAGAGAGAGATCACGAATGGAGGGCAGAGGGAGAAGCAGGCTCCCCGCTGAGCAGGTAGCCTACCCCGGGGCTCCATCCCAGGACTGTGGGACCATGACCTGAGTTGAAGGCAGATGTTTAACCAACTGAGCCACCCAGGCGCCCCCAGAATTTATTTTTAAGAAAAATTTATTTGAAAATGGGAATTTTTTCTACTTTTCTAAAAATTTAAAGGTAAACAGACTTATAAGAGAAGGGGAAACGGTTGATTTTCCTTCAGAAACAAAGAACAGAGTTCTCCATACAACTCTCTAGGAATGAATTCTGTTCCTTGAGTTGGTTGAATTTAGAGGCATGTTGTTCTGAACCACTCCTCTGCCATTTTCTTCCTATCCCTTTGGGGAAAAAAAAGGAGCTACAAACTCCTCCTTGGGAAGGAAATCCAGTCTCAGTTTCTGCCTGTCTCTAATATTGAATTTTCATTTATAAGTTAAAATTACCTTATGTAACAAAATGAACACATGTTAAAGAGGGGAGAAAATGTTGTTTATTCAACTTTCAAAGTGTGTGATGGAAGCTGGTATCTTTGGAGCTCCATTTTTTCCTTCATTGCATCACTCCATAGATTAACATAAAAATGAAGGTTGTGCTGGTTGAGGAAGGTGAGTGGGAAGCCCACGCACAGCAGCCTTCATCCCTGTGCAGGGGCAGCCCTGGAGAGCTCCGCAGAACCCCTCTGCTCCATGGAGCCCAGCCTGCAAATCTACATTGGCCTCTAAATAAAGTAGTGACTCCAAAGTTCTGAATTTTTTTAAAGGTCTGGTGAGGAAGGATATTATCCTGAACTTACGGAATTTTGTGAAAAGCGCCTTAAAGGCTTGGCTCCTGAAAGTAGAGCTTTGAGGAAAGATAAACCTGCAGCAACAGCATCCAGTTTTACAGCAGAAGAATGGGAAAAAATTGACGGCGACATGAAGGTATAGAGTGACGCTGGTTTTTGTGACATTCTCATATTGCATATATGTCTCCTTCCCTTTTCTAAAATCCTAGGCTTCTTTCTTTTTTGTCAGTGAAGGGCTTTTAGTGGTATTCATTCAGGTAGTATTGGTTGCTTCTCAAACCCAGGAGAATATTGTGAATGTGTATGTTTGTGTCTGTACACCCACATGTGTATTTTAAATGACTGTCCTATCAAAGAAACATAATTCACTCAGCTTCTATAAATAGTGCTACAAAACATACTGGTTTGTAATTTCTTTTGTACGATCCTGGTTATTTCCTCGGCATAAATTATTGGAAATCCAGTTGCTTGATCAAAGGATGTGAATAATTCTAAGGCTGTTGAAACACATTTCTATGTTCTCAGAAAAGTTGTGCCTTTGTTCTCTTTTCAGCAGCAGTATATACGAATGCCCATTTAAGGTATTCTTCACTGGACACTATAATAATTTTTTTTTAAGATTTTACTTATTTATTTGAGAGAGAGTGTGAGCAAGCATGAGTGGGGCGGGGGTTGGGGGTGCGGTGAGGGGCAGAGGGAGAGGGAGACGCAGACTCCCCGCTGAGCAGGGAGCCCCAACGCGGGGCTCAATCTCAGGACCCCAGGATCATGACCTGAGCTGCAGGCAGACACTTAACTGACTAAGCCACCCTATAATCATTTTTTAATCAATTAAATAACTGAAAAATTCGTGTATCTGTTCGATTACTAGCAGCATTCCATTTTTTGTCCATCAGTTGAATTTCTTCTTTTGTTAATGGCCTGTATCTTTAGTGATTTCTTTTAATCAGCTTTATTGAGGTATAATTTACATTCAAACAAAAATTTAATGGTCTACGTTTCACTGAGTTTTGACACCTGTCTATGCTCTAAAACATTTCTGTTACCCCGAAAAGTTTCCTTGTGCCCCTGTGCAGTCAGTGCTGACCCCACATCCTGGTCCCTGGTAACCCCTGAACTGTTTTCTATCATTGTGGATTTGTCTTTTTTAGACTTCCCTATAGTCATACAGTATGTGGCCTTTTGTGTCTTCTTTCACTTAGCATCATGCTTTTGAGATGCATCTATGTTGTTGCATATCCATAGTTTGTTTCTTTTAATTGCTGAGTAGTACTGAATTGTATGGATATCTCACAGTTTATCCACTTATCAGTTGATAAACAAAATGTTTTCCAAAGTGGCATTCCTGCCAGTAATGAATAAAAATTCCTGTTGCTCTGCATCTTGGTTCACACTTAGTATTGCCAGTTTTGTTAATTTCAGCTTTTAGATATGCAGTGGTATCTCATTTCTCTAATGACTAACTTTGTTGAGTGTCTCTTCATGTGCTTATTTGCCATCCATATATCTTCTTTTGTGAAAAGTCTTTAAATACCTTGCCCATTAAAAAAAACATTTGGATTACTTATGTTCTTACTAAGTTGTAAAATACATGTCTTTCATTAGATACATCTTTTGCAAATATTTCTGCAAAAAATATTTTGCAGATTACCTTTTCATTTTTTTACAGTGACTTTGGAAGAGCGAAGGTGTTTAATTTTGATGAAATCAATATTTCTTTTACAGTCTGTGCTTTGTGTCCTATTTAGGAAGTCTTCGTCTAATCCCAGATTCCCAAGGTTCTTCATATGATTCTTCTAGAAAGTTTCTAGTTTTAACTCTTAAATCTAGGTCTAGGATCTGTTTTAATTTTGGGGTACACACACACACACATACATATAATATAGATACCAAGGTTTCAAACATCACTTAATGAAAGATTATCCTTTCCCCATTGAACTTCTTGACATCATCATCAAAAATCAATTGACCATGTATGTGTGGGTCTATTTCTGGACTCTCTTTATTCTTTTTCATTAATCTAAATGTCTCTCTTTACTCTAATACCTCATTCTCTTGATTATGGTTAAGTCTTAAAATCAGATAGTACAAGTCCTCCAACTTTGTTCTCCTTTTTCATAGTTGTTTTGGCTATTCTAGGTCCTTTGCTTGCCAGTTACTACAAAATAACTTGCTCGTCTTTGGGTTGGGATTGTGTTGAATTTATGGATCAATTTCAAAATAACTGACATCTTAATAGTGAAATTTCTGATCCATGAACATTATATGTTTTCTGTTCATTTAAGTCTTCTTTAATTTTTTGTGCCAGTGTCTTGTAATTTTCAATGCGTAGTTCATGTATATTTTTTGTTAAATTTATTCCTAAGTATTTAATATATTTTATGCTATTGTAAAAGTTAATGTTTTTCAATTTCAATTTTTTCCTCATTCTAAGTCACCCTAGCTATGAAATTTTATGTATGTATGTATGTATGTATGTATTTTTGGTGTGGTAAAATACATATCACATAAAATTTACCATCTTAGCCATTTTTAAGGGTACAGTTCATTAGTGTTATATTGACATTATTATATTCAGAGATTTTTAGGTGTGCAGTTCAGTGTTATATTCATATTGTTGTGCAACCAATCTTCAGAACTTTTTTTTATCGTACAGAACTGAAACTCTATACACATTGAACAGTCCATCTCTCCCTCCCCTCAGCTCCTAGCAACGACCATTCTACTTTCTGTTTCATAAGTTTGACTAATCTAGATACCTCATATCAGTGGAATTTTAATTTCAATTTTTATTTGTACATTGCAAGTTTATAGTTATCTGACTGATCCTTTTATATTGACTTTGTATCCTGCAATCTTCTTAAATTTACAAATTAGTTGTAGTAGCTTTTTTGTAGATTCATTTTCTTCTATGCAGGATCATGTCGTCCACAAATAATGAAAGATTTACTTCCTCTTTTCCAGGATGGCTGCCTTTTATTTCTTTTACTTGCCTTATTGCACAGGCTTGGACCTCTAGTACAATGTTGAATAGAAGTGTAAGAACAGATATTCTTGTCTTGTTCATAATATTAGGGGGACATCATTCAGCCATTCACCATTAAGTATAATGTTGGCTTTAGATTTTATGATGTGACCCTTTATAAGGTTGAGGAGGGTCCCTTCTATTCCTTGTTTGATGAGAATTTTTATCATGAATGGGTATAGAATTTTATGAAATGTTGGGGCGCCTGGGTGGCTCAGTCGTTAAGCGTCTGCCTTCGGCTCAGGTCATGATCCCAGGGTCCTGGGATCAAGCCCCACATTGGGCTCCTTGCTCTGCAGGGAAGCCTGCTTCTCCCTCTCCCACTCCCCCTGCTTGTGTTCCCTCTCTCGCTCTGTCTCTCTCTGTTAAATAAATAAATAAATAAAATCTTAAAAAAAAATTTTATGAAATGCTTTTCCTGCATTTATTGAGAGGAATGTAAGATTTTCTTTATAGTCTATTAATAAGGTAAATTATATACTCTGTTTTCAAACGTTATACCAGTCTTGCATTCAAGGGTAAACTCTATTTAGTCATGTTGTGTCTTTTTTATATATTGCTGGAATTTTATGAAGGATTTTTGTGTCTACAATCACAAGAGATATTAGCCTGTAGTTTTCTTGTAATGTCTGGTTTGGGTAATAGGGTAATGCTGGCCTCATAGAATATGAGTTGGGAAGTGTTCTCTCTTCTTGAATTTTCCAGGAAAGTTTGTGTGTAATTGGTATTATTTCTTCCTTAAACATTTTCCAGAATTCACCACTGATGCCATCTGGGCCTCAAGTTTTCATTATAAGAAAGGATTTGACTATGAATTACGTTTCCTTAACAGATACAGTGCTATTCAGGTTATCCTTAGAGTTCTCTCTCTGTCTGGCTCCCTCTTCTTGAATATATTGCACCCGGATCTTTGTAATCTTTGCCTCCCTGAAGCCTGAACTGTGTTTTTTTTTTAATTCAGTGAGACCACAGGGCTGTTTGGGTTTCCTTTCCCTATGTTATAGCCTGGAAATTACGGGCAGTAAATTGGGGCCAATGCAAAGCTTCCCTCATTTGTTTCCTTTCTTTCAAGGATCATTGCCCTGTGCTACCTATTGTCCAATGTCTGAAAACCACTGTTTCATGTATTTTATCCAGTTTTCTAGAGTTTAAGCAGGAGGGCAGATCCAGTCCCTGTTACTCCATCAGGTCCAGGAGGAGATATCCCTTTATTGATGTTTCTATTCATGTGTTCCTTATTTATTTGTAATAGTTCTGTTGCATATATTCTAAATTTTCCTTCAATTTGTCATTAGTCTTTTAAATCTTGTGTATAGTGTTTTTCATGTTTATTCATTAAAAAAATTTTATCCCTTGGTTTTATCCCTTCTGTTTTCTTGCTTTTATACTTGAGAAAGCTTCCTCTCCACCAGATGCATATTTACCTGTATTTTCTGAGTTCTTTTGTGGTTTCATTTTGCTTAAGAAATAACTTCTTAAAACAGATTCTGGAGAAACAGTTTTTTGTTTTACTTTATTCAGCGTATTTTACTGGATTGAATAATACATTTGAAGACAATTTTGAGGAATATGTATTCTCTAACTCAGAATGCTATGTTTTTTTAAACTTTCAGTTTTCTCGGGGCACCTGGGTGGCTCAGTTGGTTAAGCGTCTGCCTTGGGCTCAGGTCATGATCCCGGGGTCCTGGGATCGAGCCCCGCATCGGGCTCCCTGCTCAGCGGGGAGCCTGCTTCTCCCTCTCCGTCTACTGCTCCCTTGCTTGTGCTCTCTCTCTGTCTCTCTCTTTCTTTCTGTCAAATGTATAAATAAATAAAATCGTTAAAAAAAAAAATAAACTTTCAGCTTTCTCATTTTGCCATTTTATTGACTTGAAATTGAAAATCTGGTAATTAATCTACAAGTTAAAATATCAGTTTATGTCCAGAGTTCTTTGGCTTTAGTGTCCAGGGAATAACAGCGTAGTTTTAGTTGCAGAACCTGCTTTTTTTCCAGTTGCGTGTTCTTTCTCGGTCACCTCTCGACTTTGCTTCCTCTCCCTTTCTTTCTTGCTTTTCCCTGCCACTTGTCCCTCTCCCCGCCCATGCTCTCTTACTCTTTGTCCGCCTCTGTAGTGCTTCCTCTTCCTTTTTACCTTTCTCCCCTTACTGTTTTTCTGTTTCTTCTCCCTTTTTCACCTCTCTGCTCCCATTTTGTTCCCCTGCCTCCTGCACGGTTAGGACAGATAATATAGTTAATCGCTGTATCACGGTGCCTAATTTAATACAGTGTCTGACAGATATCAGACCCTCACTGTATAGCTGCTGAATAATAACAATAGAATTTCCCAGATAACAAATCTCTCACTCAGTTTCTTCCTAGAACCTGTGAAAATTCAGTTTAATAAACATGATTATGAACCTATTATGTGCCAGACATTGTGCTAGGTTCCTGAACCACAACGGTGAGACTATGACGTAGGTTCTGCCCTCAGGGAACTTACAGAATGTGAGAGAGATGAACAATAATTGGCTTATTTTAAATCTCTGTGTTAAAACATGGAGGAGGAGCATTTGTAGCCCAACCAGGTAGTTCAGGGAAAGCTTGTTGGAAGGGATGAGAGTAAGCTTGCAAAATAATAGAAGTAGGAAGGGTAACACAAATATGCATAATAATACTGAACTGTACATTTAAAAGTGGTTAACATGATAAATTTTGTTTTGTGTATTTTACCACAGTTTAAAATAATAGTAGAAGGGCATTACAGATAGAATGCATGACCAAATTGTCACCCCAAAAAATGAACCCAGAGGAAACTATGATAATGTGTAATCCTAACACCTGATTAATTACTTCAAACTGTTTATCTTCTTTTTTCTCCTGCTTCTCAGAGTTGGATATCGGAAATTAAAAAAGAAGAAAATAAAATGCACTTTCATGAAACTGACACACTTCCGGCACTGGAAGATAATTTGCCTCCAGTTCGTGGTTCACATAGGCATCTTCATGTTAGTAAGGTAGGCCGTTTTGGTGTGAGGTGTGGGTGGCGGGGGGACAAGACTGTTGTTGTTGTTAAGAGAGCTAGCAGTTAATCAGAGTAACCACAGTGTGATGTCCCCTGAGAGTTGGGGATCATCTTTCAGCTGGCTGTGTGCTGTGGCCTTCTTGAGGAGGCTGTGTTTCACCACTTGGAGATCCAAATGAAACATTTCCCTTTGAAGGCTTGCTTCTTGGGCTCTGCCTTTTCTCATTTTTTCTTTCATTGTGATGTCTGCTCTACTCTGACCAGTGATGAGCACATAAGATCCAATTCAGTGGGTGAGAATTTCAGGGAATAATCTTGTCTGTCCAATGGAGGCATAGAGGAAATAGTTTATTACATGATTAACTCTGGATTTAAAGTATTAAATAGATACTTGCAAGCAGTTATAGATGTCATTCCTCTGTTTACTGCATGTTATTACCCCAGCCCCTTATGATGATTTCTCTGTGGTCGATCCCTATTTTGTCATGTAGACCTTTCCTTTTTCACCCATCGGTTCCATAAAGAAGGGGCCTGTTGGAATTTCAGGTCCATTTATACTTAACTTCAACTTAAAACTGAGCTTCTGGGCATCCACCTGACCCTGATATTACAGAATCTAGCCATTGTGTCCTGGGCGTTGGGAGTCTCTGGGCTTTCACGTGGATCCTGCATTCTGTTCCCTCTGCCCTACTTTTTTCTTTTAGTCCTATCATTTCTGAAAGTTTGCCTGCTCAGGTCTCTTCATTCTGGACTCATTCATGTTATTCTCATTTCTTCTTTGAATACTCAATTTTATTTAAAAAACATCCATAGCCTTTCATTACAGTGCTCTCTAATAATTTACCTTCCTGCATCTTTTTCCTCCCCATTAAGAATTGCTCATGTAACTGAGGTACACTATAATCTGGTAAGGATGCCACTATCTGTAATTAATATATTTGTATTTATTGAAAACCCATTTTTTGCTAGGTCTGTGCCCTGAAAATATAACAGGGGGTTATGGTTCCATGGGGTAGACAGACTAGTGGTACAGTGATTCTCAAAGTATAATCCATGGGCCCTGGTTCTCCCAGAGATCCTTCCAGAGGGTCCAGAAAGTCAATGCTATTTTTAGAAAATAATGCTACTGCTTTGCCTTTTTCACTGTGTTGACATTTGTATTGAGGGTGAAGCTGCTGGGCCTTAGCACGAAGCAAGGCACTGAGGGGCACCAAACTGTGCTAGTAGTCTCTGTTTTCTCCACAGCTCCCCATTTACAGTAAACAATTCCAGTTTGACTTAAAAATGTCTTTGATGAAACAAAAAAACTTATTTTGTTAAGTCTTGAATCTTGAGGACACATCTTTTTAATAATCTGTGTGACAAAAGAAGTGTTCAAAAAACACTTGACTGTGAGGTAAAATCCGGTGGTTATTTCGAGATTCGAGACTTGTATGAGTGAGTTGCCAGCTTAAGTCACCACTGTTTCCCGGAACAGGTTTTACTGGAAAGCGATTGACAGACAAATTATGGTTATTCAGGCTTGGGTTTTGGCAAACATTGTATTGAAAATAAATGAAGTGGGCCTGTCACTCTAAGGAACAACTGACGGTGTTTTTTGCTAGTGATAAAATCTGAGCTTTCAATTGCAATTTAAGAGCGTATTTCATGGGATGCCTGGGTGG